CCTCTGATGCTGCTTGGCCTGCTGTGTTCATCCAGTTCTACACCTTGTTATCTCAGATTCTCCAGCATCTGCAGTTCCTAATATCTCTGGACCAATAGTAGAGTCCCCAGACTTTGAAGAAGATTAGTGTGATTAATTCTGTCGAATGCTGCAAGGAGTTTGAACATGTTGAGAAGGATAGTTCATTATAGTCACAATTGTACTTCCTGTGGCTTTGATTAGGAGCATTTTGGTGATGTAGGAGGGTTGGAAACCTGACTGATTGAAGAAATAATTGTAGGAATGCAGGATATGATTTGGAAGATAACAACATACATTGACCCTGAAGATGAAAGTGAGATCAGAGATATGGTAATAGTTTACAGATCAAAGGAGTCAAGCATTTTTAAGGAGGTGAAATGGTGACCGCAAATATGAAGCCAGGAAGGAAAGTTAAGTGGTCAGCAGTTCTTGGGAGCAGAAGGTTGGTCTCATGGAAAATATGAGCATGAAGAGGACATTAGGAGAAATGCATTGAAACTAGAGTACTATTCACATTACACAAGTGCCAGGCGATGACCATCTCCAACAAAAGACAATCCAGCCCTTGCCCATTAACTGAATAGCATTACCATCACTGAATCCTTCACTATCAACACAATGACCAGAACCTGAACTTGACTAGCCATATAAACAGTGTGGCTACAAGAACTGGCTAGAGAGTTGGAATCCTGCAGCAAGTAACTCACCACCTGACTCCCCATAGCCTGCCCATGACCTACAAGGCAGAATTCAGGTGTGTGATAGAATACTCCATACTTGCCTGGATAGGTGTAGTTCCAATAACATTCAAGAAGCTTGACACAATCCAGATAATGCACCCCACTTGATTGCCAACACACCTACTCCTTCCACCACTGATGTTCAATAGCGGCAGTGTGTACCATCTACAATAAGCACAGCAGAAATTCACCAAGGCTCCTTCGACAGCACCTTCCAAACCCAAGGCCTCGACCAACTAGACTGGCAAGGGCAGCAGATACATGGGGACTCCACCAGCTGCAAGTTCTCCTCCAAGTCAATCACCATTCTGACTTAGAAATATATCAGTGTTCCTTCAGTGTCACTGGTTCATACACCTGGAACTTCATTCCTAATAGTATTGTGGGTTTACCTACAGTAAATGCAGTGATTCAAGAATCAGCTCACCTTTGCCTATCCCTTGATGCCCTTGAAAAGGCAATAAACTCTGGCTCAGTCAATGAATTCCATGAAAGAGGTTCAGGACTAGGTCAGTGGATGGCCTTGGGGTTAGTTTGACTTGGTAAGTGTGGGAATGGGGGAGATTTAGTGGCACATTTTTTTTTATATAGTTACCAACTGTCAAATTGAGGAACTTTGGGATTAAGTGTAGTTGTAGGAAGAATGTTTGAATTCTACCTGGTTGCTGTGGTACATAGTTGTGTGGAAATAAGATTATTGGTTGTATTGGTCTTGCATCTCCTGGTCCACTATTACTGACCAAGTGCTTTTCTCAATCTTCTGGTACCTTCAGGAACTCCCAGTGGTGAGTTTTATGGAGTCTCTGATTTTTTTTTTTCAGATAAACTCTGCTTCAACACATTCTTCAACTTTGAGGACATGCAGGAAATCACCAAGCATTTTGTCGTGTGCCATATCGATGCTCCAGGTCAGCAGACAAATGCCTCGCAGTTTCCTTCAGGGTGAGTCCCACTGACTTATTGTGTCAGTCCACATCAGCTTAAAATTCTTTATTCAGTCCCATAGTGTATAATAGAGTGAAGTTGTAGTTCAAAATAGCCCAAACATCTCTCTCCAGATTTCATAACATCCACTCTCCTCTCCTATGTTCTAGTTGTAATATCCCTTAGGGTATCTGTTTTCCATGTGTAACCCATCTGAACCTCTTGATTTGACACCTCTTGTGAGTGACTCCCAAGTTTCCTTCATTTGTATTAACTCTTTGGTGTAAGAGTCATCGGCAAGATCTGGTATTTATTACCTTTGCCTATTTAGAAGGTGGTAGTGGGCCTTCTTAAATAGTTCTTGTGGTATAAGCCTTCCTAAAATGCTGATAGGTGCTGAGTTCCAGGATTTTCACCCAGCATTGATGAAGGAACGAGGGTATCTGACCACATTAGGATGATCAGTGACTTGAAAGAGAACACAGATGATGCTGTGGCATTATGGTGCAGGTGGTGGTATAGTGGCAATATCACTGGACTAGTAACCCAGAGATCCAGACCAATGCTGTGGATTTGAAATTCCCCACAGGAGCTGGGGGAATTTAAATAAATAATACATCCGGAATATAAACTAATCTCAGCAAGGTGTCGTGGAACTACTGCCGACTTGTAAAAACTCAACTGGTTGACCAGTTAGAGAAGAAAAATTTCCATCCTTTCATGGTCAGGCCTACAAGTCATTCCAGTTTTACAGTAATATGGCTATCTCTTATCTGCCTTCTGCAGTGACCTAACAAGCCACTCAGTTCAAGGGTAATTAGGAATGAACACTAAATGCTGGACCTGCTGGGAACACACACATCCCATGAAAAAACAAAGGAAACAAAGTAGTGCGGACCACATTCTTTTCCTGGATATTCATTACTTTATGTATGTAAACTATCTGAACACCATGATTGTGGCCTGTAATTAACTCACATTTTATGAATGAAGCCCATGGTTAGATTACCAAGTTGTAGTTATGCAATGACTGTCACTTTTGTTATACACTAGACACTGTAAACTGTGCGTCAACGTACGTTACAACTCCGGCTGCCTATCCAAACTTTGCCTCTGTTGCCAGTGATACACTGTCCCATATGCCATTCATTGGTTATCTATTGGAACACGTAGCACGTGCAAAGTTACCAGCCTCAGTGAAGTAGGATTTTTGAGTTTTGGACTATGCTGTTGGCAGTTTGTGATGCCAAGTCCTATGTAGTATAGTTTTTTATGGGTGGGATTGTCCCAGTGCCTCACATTAACTTTGGCAGAGAGTCAATTTATAACCAAGTGAAATAGCACCTATGATATGTTAAGCTATTTCTCCAGAATATCTACGGGAGAAGATCAAGCCAGTTCATGTGGAACTTCTGTTTCTATCCACTGTTAAGTGTCTGTCTCCTGATTCCTGTCACCATGGTTGTCTCAAATTCCTCCATCTATGCTATTTGATGTATAGAAAGTATTCTTGTCACTAATTGCTTTTACACGTTGTGTCTTTTACACAGGTACCAGTTCCCGACCATGGACCAGCTGGCTGCTATGTTACCAAGTGTGGTTCAACATTTTGGGTGAGTTGTCCTATATTAACTGTCTTCTTGTATACAGTATCATTTAGCCTGGAGTCCACTAACTTTAATAAACATTACATATTGATAAACACTCAGTATCTACTGAATGCTATAGGCTGGTGTTAGTGTGGAGGTGAGGGTGCGTTGAGTAGGGATTTCTGGTTCAGAGTTAGGAAACCTGGAGGAACAGGGTCATCGGAGTAAATCTGGAATTCAGAACCAGGAAAGATTGGGGAGGCCACAGTCGGCCAGTGAGTTGTTTTCAAAGTAGGAACAAACTCTAGAAAATGGGAGGTGGCTGGGCAAAGATTGGATTCATGCATCATCAGCGAGGCCGGTGAAGGCAGAGATCGAGAAGGCTGCAATGGGGACAGTCAGTGTCTAGAGCAGTTAAGATGCTGGAGTTAGGACAGTCCAGGCTAATACTGGGGGTGAAGGTCATACTGTGTCACAGGGTATCCCATCACCATTTGTAAATGAAGGAGTAAGTAGGATCTTGTAGGTAACTAGAGAGGCTCTTACTTCCTGGATCCAACAGTTCTCACCTCTCTTTAGCCACTGGGTTGTGCGAGACCCAGAAACTAAGCTAACCAGAAGTAAGTGTATATTGGTTTGTAAATATTAATAACATGGTTAATTGCAATTAAATTGCAACCTGCCTTCTGCGAATGTGTTGGGTGTCTGCTGTCACTTCCCCTCTAGAAAACTGGAAGTGCTCAGGCTAAGTTTAGTTTCAGACTTCTGATATTTTAACTTCCCACCCAATCCAGACCATTTTTGTGGTTACAGTTGCCAACTTTATGTTGCTAAGCACCCAGGTTCTCTAAGTAGCACTAGAGCCTAGTATGTAATGCTACTTCTTCAGGTTCTCTGTGATCCCTTAACTCTTCAGAATGTGCAGAATGCATCCGACTAGATCAAGAGTTGTTGAGATTCCCAATCATAACTGTCCCCTGTGAGGTCACCAATCTTTTTCCAGCTCTTAACCAACATAGATTCATAGAGCGTGGAAACAGACCCTTCGGTCCTACTCATCCATGCCGACCAGACATTCCAATCTGACCTAGTCCCATTTGCCAGCATGTGGCCCATATCCCTCTAAACCCTTGCTACTCATATACCCATCCAGATGCCTTTTAAATGTCGTAATTGTACTAGCCTCCGCCACTTCTTCCGGCAGCTCGTTCCATTCACACACCAACCTCTGCGTGAAAAAGTTACGCCTCGGGTCCTTTTTTAAATCTTGCCCCTCTCTCCTTCAATTTATGCCCTCTAGTTTTGGACTGTCCCATCCTAGGAAAAAACACCTTGGCTATTCGCCCCTTCTAATGCCCCTCATGATTTTATAAACGTCTATAAAGTCACCCCTCAGCCTCCAGTGTTCCAGTGGAAAAAGCCCCAGCCTATTCAACCTCTCCCTATAACTCAAACCCTCCGGTCCTGCAAAATTCTTGTAAAAATGTCCTGCATCCTCTCAAGTTTAACAACATGCTTCCTATACAAGTGTGGCCGGAAATGTACGCTGTAACTTGACAAAGCACAGATTAGAAACTGAATGTTCAAGGCCCCATCAGTTAGAATTTCTGCTGTCTGGTCATGTTCATAATGGTCGTTTTGTAATGAATTGTGTTCCACTGGAAATTGGGTTCAAGGCCAATGTGTTACCTTGTGTAACTTATTTTCAACTTCATATGATAAACTGTTGCACATGGAACCGTTCCATAGGAAATAGCTTTGGGAGTATGGCATTTAAACCCTTGAGTTGTTTTGTCATTCTATTTGATCATGGCTACTTTGTACCTGAACTCCATTTACTTCCATTGCTCTATATACCTAATCATAATATAATGTTAGCAGCCCTCCACTTCTGTGGCACCTTACCTGTGCCAAGTTCCTTGTTACCTCCTCCCTTTCCTCCCTCAACAGCCTGGGATTAACCCCATGCAGACAATTTGATTTATCTACTTTAAGGCTGCTAAACTCATTACTTAGCCATTGTTGATTGACCTTTTTAGAGTTTTGCATCTTAAGGAATGTATAGTTGCTACAAGTGATGTAATAGTTCTTTAAAGACTATCCATTGCCTACGTACGGTCATACCTTTTATTGAATTATCCCAATCCAGCATAGCCAATTTGTGCGTCATCCCTTCATAATTTCTCTAATTCAAATGTAATGCCCTTGCTTCAGAATGGACTACATCACTTTCAAACGTAGAATTTTAAATTATTGTATTGTGATCAATCATCCCTAAAGGTTCTTTTATAACAAGATTGTGAATTAGCCCTTTTTCATTACTTAATACTGGGTATAAAATAATATATCCTTTATTTGACTCCTCTACATACTGCTTTAAAAACATCCCTAAAATTCTGAAAACTCATTCTCCAGCTTTAGTGCTTGGTCAGTTCACCCAGTCTATGTGCAGGTTGAAGTTGCCCTTGCTACGTGCTTCTCTCACTTCCCCTGATTAATACTAATTGGGTAGATTTCCTTCCCTAAAGGACATTAATAAACCAGATGGGCTTTTAATACAATCAGCAATGGTTTTCTGATCACCAGCTATTAATTCCAGATTTAATTAAATTTAAATTTCACCATCTGCTGTAGTGGAATTTGAACACACGTCCCAAAGTATTAGTCTGGGCATTTTGATTACCAGTCTATTTGATGCTATCACTATGACGCCACCTCCTGTAAACCTTTTTAATGTAATAAAATTTGATCCATAATGCTGTCTTGCTTTAACAACCTAAAGGAAAAATTCAATGGGCTGATCAAAAGCTTGCTCAATGAGTGGGTTTGAAGGAGCATATTAAAGGATGAAAGAGACTCCTAGAAGTTTAGAAAGGAAATGCAAGAGATTAGAGCCTTAACATCTGAAGTTACAGCTATGAGTTCTGAGGAAGGGTCACTGGACCCGAAACGTTAACTCTGTTTTTTCCATCACAGATGCTGCCAGACCTGCTGGGCTTTTCCAGCAACTTTGTTTCTGTTACAGCAATGAGTGATGGATTGAATAAAACTGAGAGTTCACAAGAGGTCAGAGTTAGAGGAGTTCAGATATTTTGAATGTTTGCAAGGATGGAGGAGATTACAGAGATAGGAAAGGTGCAAGGCTAGAGAACTTCAAACTAAATGAGCTGAGACCGAATTGGGTTTAGACTATGCTATAGAGGTGATAGATGATCTTCTGATGGCATAGATATGTTCTTGAAAGTTCAGTTTGGGGCAAAATATGATATCCTATTGGTCTTGTTCAGCCTCTGTTAGTTGCCATGGAGAGGTATGAAATCAATCATTAGGGAATTGCGTTTTTGGTGAGGACTCAAGACAACAGCTTCTCCAATACTGGATGTTTGAGAAGCTGTCACAGAAGTTAGAGAGAATGGAGGAGCTGAGAGTGGTGAGGAGGAGAAGTAGTCAGATAGAGCTGAGTGTCCTCAGCATATATATGGAAACTAATGCTGTGTTTTCAGATGCTGTCATTGAAGGGAAGCATGCAGATGAGAAATTTAAGGGGATGAAGTGATAATGTTGTAAACCTCTATTTGGAAAAGGAAAAAAGCAGGAGCCAGTCTCCTTCCCATATAGGTTCATGGATAGTATTTTTTTACGACATAACTGCTGCTCTATATGCCTTAATTTTATAGCAATGCAGGCATTTGATACATTAACACCAAGAATAGATCCATTGGAAACATCATCAGTGGTAACAGTGTGGCAGCAAGAAGATAAATCATTACGGGCGATTCTTTGACAATGGATAGATAAAAATGGAACCAGAGGATAAAACTAAACTCTCTGTATCCGGATGTGCATAACATTTGAAACAAAACAAAGAACTGCGAGCTTAAATATGAATAAATAAGTTGAAGCTGGTCTCCATTGCAGAGACATGACTGCATGGCGACATGAATTGTGACCTGAATCTTGAAAAGTGTGGGGCATTGAGGTAGGCCAAGAGCTAGGAACAAGTGGAAGGGGGGCTTTTTTATTTAATGACGGTATTGGCACAATAGAGGGGGATAACCTAAATTCAGGAAACCAATTTGGAAACAGTATGCTAAAGATAGGAATGATAGAAGGAAGAAGGGGAATTTGAGGACATGAAACATTGAGCTAAAGTGAATTAGCAAATTAAGTTGAAGTATAAGTAGGAGAGGTGTACAGGCCTTTAAAAGTAACCACGTGGGAGGGGGGAGCATAAAAGAATAAATCATGAGAACTTGTCGGGAAGGCCTGGCAGTAATTATGGGGGATTTTAATCCATATATCTACTAGAAAAGTCAGATGGGCAGCGGTAGCTTCAATGAGGAATTCACATAACGTTCTCAAGAGAGTTACTTAGAATAGCCTGTTTTGGAGCCAACCAGAGAACAGGCTATACTAGGCAGTATTGTGCAACAAGACAGGATTAATTAATGGTCTCATAGTGAAGGTGCCCCCTAGGCATTAGCGACCATAACAAGATTGAATTTTACTTCCAGTTTGAAAGAAAAAGGTGTGAGTCCAAGACTATTTAAAAAAAAAATAGGGTAATTATGAAGATATGAAAACAGTGCTAGTTGAAATTAATTGGCAAATTAAAGGATAGGGCAGTAGAGATGAAGGGAATATTGCAGAATAAATAGATTTACACTTATTCCAAAGCATGAGACAAAATTCAAAGAACAGCGCCACCATCTGTGGTTAACTGGAAGTGTTGACATAGTGTCAAACTTAAAGTAAAAGCATGTAATTGTGCAAAGACCGATGACAGGCCGGAGGATTGGGCAGAATCTAAAAAACAGAAAAGAACGATGAAAAACTTAAGGAGGGGGAAATTACAGCATGAGAGAATGCTCACGAGAAATGTAAAAACAGAGAAAGTGTTTCTACAAATATTGTAAAAAGAAAAGAGTTCACAAAGTGATTGGATCTATAGAAAGTGGGACTAGAGAATTAATAATGGAAAAAAAGAAAATGGCAAATGAATTGAACTACATTTTGCATCAGTCTTCACTTTAGAGGATACACGCAACATTCCAAAATCAGCAATAAATCTGGAAATGGAAGTGAGGCAGGAACTTGAGGAAACTCTTAACCACCAGAGAAGTGGTACTGAGTAAATTATTGGAGCTGCAAGCTGATAATTGCCCAGGCCCTGATGCACTTCATTCTAGGGTCTTGCAAGAAGTGGGTAGTGAGATAGTCAATGCATTTGTTTTAATTTTCGAAAACTTGCTTGAATTGGGGTGTGGTCCCATTAGATTGGAAGGTTGCAAATGTAATTCCTCCATTCAGAAAAGGAAGGAGATGGAAAGCAGTAAACTACAGGCCAGTTAGCTTAACACCAGTCAAAAGGGAAAATGTTAGAAGCTATCAAGAAAGAGATCATAGCGGGGAACTGGTTGATGTACTTTCCCAAGATTTCCAGAAGGCATTTGATAAAGTGCCTCATCAAATGTTATTGCAGAAAATAAAAGCTTATGGTATAGAGGATAGCATATTGGCATGTATAGAAGATTGGCTGGCAAATACAATGTAGAGTTGGCATGAATGGTTTTTTTAAGTTAGAAAGATGTAACTAGTAGGTGCGCCATAGGGATCAGTGCTGAGATCTCAAATCTTTACAATTTAAATAAATGACTTGGATGAAGGGATTGAAGGTATTGTTGCCAAGTTTGCTGAGAAGTTGTGAAGAGGACAAAAGAGACTACAAACCGGTATCGATCAGTTGAGTGAATGGCTGATAACGTGAAAAATATATATGGGAAATTTTGAATTGTCCATTTTGGCAAGATGGATAAAAAACATATTATCTAAATGAAGAGAGATCAGAGAGCTCTGGGATGCAGAGGAATCTGTGTCCTGGTGATTGAATCAGAAAAAGTTAGTATGCAAGTACATCAAGTGATCAGGAAAGCTATAATTTATTGTAGGAGAAATTGAATACAAAAGTCGTATGTTTCAGTTATGCAGAATGTTGGTAAGACCATCTCTATTGGTCACCTTATTTAAGGAAAGATGTAGATGCATTAGAGGAGGCATTTAAGAGAAGACTAACCAGACTAATAACTGGAACAAGTGCTTTGAATTATGAGGAAAAGTTGAACAGGTGAGAATCGTACTTGCTGGATATTAGAACAGTAAGAGGTGACTTGATTGAAGCATAAGATCCTGATGGGTCTTGGCATAGTAAGTGCAGACAGTAAATCTACTTTTATGGGAAAATTTAGAGGTGGAGGTAAGTGTTTTAAAGGTGGGATCACTTTTTTAAAACAGATTTAAAAACAGCCTAAATGAAGGCTCCAACACAGAGGACACGGTAGAGGCTGGATTTGAGTTCACACCCTATGTCAGTATTATTCCATTGCAGCAGTCAGCATAGGTCTCAATCTTTAGAGTTTCAGACAATTTTAAAACATGGCTGTGTTTGCTGACATTAACTAGCACGGTCCAGGCCTGCCTTCCCTCAAAGCCCCTCCCACTTTAATTTTATTGCTACAGATGGTGTGCCTGACCCTCATGGTGGGAATTGTCAACACAATAAAAATTCCCACTCACGAAGCTGAAAGCATTTCTTTGGGTAGGAATTGGCACAAAGGGCAAGTTGTTCGGGTGAAATTGGATGGAATGAAGAGACCGAGAGGGGTGAAGAAAAAGCAAGAGGATAAAATGTTTTTGCTTGTTTCATGGGACAGGAGGATAAGATGCATTTAATTGGGGCGGCATGGTGGCTCAGTGGGTTAGCACTGCTGCCTCAGGTAACTGCCTGTGTGGAATTTGCACATTCTCCCCTTGTCTGCATGGGTTTCCTCCGGGTGCTCCAGTTTCCTCCCACAGTCCAAAGATGTGCAGGTCAGGTGGATTGGCCATGCTAAATTGCCCATAGTGTTCAGGAATGTGCAGGTGAGGTGGATTAGCCCTGGGGAACACAGGGTTGTGGGTCTGGGTCTGGGTGGGATGCTCTTTGGAAGGTCAGTATGGACTCGATGGGCCAAATGGCCCGCTTCCACACTGTAGGGATTCTATGATTTTGTCTTTTTTTGTCCTCCTTTTCTTTCCATAATTGAGTAAGTTTTAATTTTGCTTTCTTATTTTTATTTCTTTTTCCTTTTCAAGTAGGTCATATTATGTTCCCTCCAGACCCTCTGTCTGTGAAGTCCAATTTTTAAATAACCAGCAACATATTCTCTTTAGGGTTATAAACTAGAGAGTAGTTTATTCAAACTTTCAAACCTGGGGGATAAATTTCACAATTCCTGTTAGGAAGGGGAAAAGGCCAAACCCCTCTGATAATTAAACTAAAACACAAGCCGCAATCTGCTATGATGGGATTAGAGGTTCCCTTCTAATAATTGTCCTCGAAACACCCAAAGAAGCTCACCTTTCTCCTTGAAATCTATTAAAAGGGTGGTTAAAAGAAAGAAAATCCCTGATCTCCAGTTTACAAGTAACAAGAATCAATTTATTTATTTAACACAACAATGAACAAATTAACAGAATTACTAACAAACCGACAATTCCCCCTTAGACTGCTAACTACTTCCTAACTTATAAATTCTACTGGAATACTGTTCAAATAAACACAAGTCCCACCTAATAAACCCAATTAATAAGAGAACAATGAATTATAACTTAATCTCTCCAAGTTCGAACAGACTGTCTTCTGGAATATTCAGTCATCTCCGCTGTCTTCACAAACACCTTTCTTCTGCTAATTCTGCTGTCAGGAATGTTTTATCTCTATAATTTCTTCAATGAGGACTTTGAGCTAAAATACCATGGTACCTTTGATTAATTAGATGGGTTTTCTCTGAGAGCTGAATGGTGCTAACCCTGCAGGTGGTAGCTGGTTCGTCTGGTTTTCCAAATGCCCTTGTCTTTTATACCCGTAATTACTAATCAAATTCTTGATTGGTTTCAGGTTGTCAACACCATCAGATTTAAATTCAATTCGTTTTCTGTATCTAGGTGCTTTGTTTAAATTAATTGGCCAGCTTCAAACTTCTTGTCTTGGAAAAAGTGCTGTTTGGCTGTTCTATACAAAATGTTTACATTCGGGCACTCTCTGTGCACCTGCATTTATAAACTTCCAGGCACAGACAAAGCTCAAGATCTTAAAGGGACCACGGCATTCTTTCCCCACGATCATTTTTACCAATAAAAGCATATAAGGAAGAAAGAGGAATAAAAAGAAATTACAATTTCAAAAAGGTTTGATTTTAAAAAATGTAGGTATTAATTCATATGAGTCAGTAAAGGTCCTTGAAGTTGGTTGGTCTAGCAGAATTCCTTTTTTGTAGGAGCTCAGATGCAGGGACAGTAATACGATTCTCATAGACTGAGAATTAGTTCACTTACCAGCGAAATACAGGATTATTCCCGGAAATTGAGTTTCGAGAGAGATTGATATTAGAGGTGGGATTAAGATGAGCATGAAGCTGGTTGTTATCTATTGAGGTTAAAAAGCAGTCTGGGAAGTGTTCAGAGCTATATAATTAAAGATCTTCTAAATTTTGAAGTTTCAGTTGTGACAGGGTTCCTTTTTTAAATTATTTAAACTAATTCAAATTAACAAAGTTAAGTTTTTTTTTATGTCTCTTGTCAAAAACCAATATTTGCTGTAGGAGTTTGCTGTAGACTGTTAGCACCAGTTGAGCCATGATGATTTTTGATTTCCTTTTGTTTAGAGCTGGTCACAGAGTTCCTTTGTATGAGTTTCACTAAACTGCTCATGCAAATGGGAGATGTGAGATTCCCAAAAGATAATGAGTTAGCTTTTGTTCTGGCAGTTGCTGGAAATTTCTAGAAGCCGCCATCTTGTCCATTCTGTGTTCAATAGCACCCATTTTAAATCCATCAAGAATGCATTTTTAAAGTTAAAGAAAACAGTATAGTTTGAAAGAACACAATTCTGTTTGTGTCGTGTGGACATGACACTTATCAATGGTACTTACTGAAGTTAGTATAATGGATCACTCCTGTAAGGTGGTTATACTGGATGGGATGCAGACACATGTGCATAGGATTGGTCAGGTACTTCCTGGCATAATGGATTATCACCTGGATACATGCCAAGTATGCAGCTATGCAGCCCAAATGCATGTGTGCCTTTTGGATGGTGACCTGGCCACGTGATCTTGCATGTATACAGACATAGCAGACCAGGTATTTTACATAATTTATTTGAATACTGATGTCTTTTTTCCCTGTAGATTTAAAAGTGTTGTTGGGATTGGAGTGGGAGCTGGAGCCTATATCCTTGCCAAATTTGCTGTGAGTGTCCTATCATTTCTTTGTAGTTGACAAGATGTGTTCCAGGGATTTGTAAAATTCACTTACAATTAAATTATTTCGTTTTATTTGTTCCGTCTTTCCCATCCCCATTTCTCACAGCCAGGTAGCGAGCCAGCATCACTGTCCTGACTAGGATTAGTGGCTAACAGAAACTGAAGATTGAACCTAGGTATTCCTGGTCTATACTCCTGACTGTAGGTCACCGCATTCATCAGTAGACAGGGAAAGGACTGTGACCCTATTTGAAGAAGATATATCACTGTTAACTTGGTGTTCTCCTGCAGTTACATACTGTCAACTGTTCTACTGCCATATTAACCAATGTGTAACACAGCTTCAGCCCAAGGTTATACTGTGTTACAAAATCCCAGCAATGGGCTGTCATGTTTATGATTCACTTGTAGCTTTGTTTATGGAATTGGTAAAAGTATTCCATTTGCTCTGGTGAATGGTTAGAATTCTGCTCTTCACTCTTATCCCAATCAGAAAACTTTCTCTCTCAGGTACTGAATGAGTCAGTCACTGGCCATTTTCAGCACATTTTGTTTTTTAAATTATGTTTTGCATCTCATAACGAAGTATGATAGGTTAGCTTGCTGAATTATATGGTCACCCTCAGTGCCTTTCTATGTGCCAGTTGAAATCATGCTATGTGGCACTAGTAACAAATGGTTTTGTATAAAATTCCTTGGGGTATGTTACTTACTTTGAGTAGACTAATCCCTTTTTAAAATAGTGGACAAAGCAACTTCAGACAAATGTGTTATTTATTCCTTCGTATATTGCTGCTAATTTTATTTAGTTCTCAAGCTCTGAGTTCATGCAAATGGGACTGGTTTAGTTTGGGAAACTTGGTCAGCGTGGACGAGTTGGACTGAAGGACCTGTTTTCGTGCTGTATGACTATGACTCCATGATTCTATAACTCCGTTGTGTTGGTGTCACCTGTTGAGCTGATATTTCCCTTTTGTTCTGATGTCTCCAAGTCTGGCTTGACTTTCTATCACACTAACCCCTCTTTGTCATGTTAGACTCTCTCTACCACATTGGATTCACTTAACTGTCCTTCTTTCCTTCAGCTGATTTTCCCAGATATGGTTGAGGGGATGGTCCTCATCAATATTGACCCCTGTGGAAAGGGCTGGATTGACTGGGCAGCAACAAAGGTCAGTGGTGGTAACCAGTGAACCGAAACTAGTAGTGTTATTAATTATTATCTTGGTCTTTGATCAAGCTAGTCCAGAAAGGAGGAGTCGGGGCATTCTGAAATTCTGTCAGGATCATTGGAATTTAAACCGAGGGCTTTAGGTGTTTTTTTTATACATTAGATTCTAGTCTGAGACTCATTCACCAATATCTATTATTCTAATGACGGGCTGAATATTTGCTCCCAACTTGGAACATTTCACGGTTGTGCAAACTCAACCTGAGAGTAAGAGCCCCTGAAGCTGGATTTTTTGTTTGTAGGTGACAGGAGTTCCCTGGCAATCAGGCTGGGTGACTCCAGAGCAAGTGCGGAGGCAAGATGGGTGGAAAACATGGTTTGTTGATCAGTCATTGTGATGAAATTTTTAAGAAAAGCAATAAAGCAAAAAAACATCCTTCCAGTCCTTACCCCTCACAACCCAAAACACTCGCCAAGCCCCTTTCATGCCAACTATGCTACATCAAGCTCTCTATCCACTGCTTACATCCTCCATCTAACTAATGTTGAGTTGAAAGTTCCAAATTTCTATCGCTGTCTTTATTTCTTTCAAAACCATTAATTAATAACACATCGTAACATTTATCTTCCTTCAACTACAAATTCCCTATAGCCTGAAACACTTAATTGAAGATCATAAATGTTTGGAACAAAAAACGTGGGAAATCGTAGCCTAACTTGGTAGAGTCTATAAGTACTTGGAGCTTTCCTCTACTTCCTCAGAAGGCTAAGGAAATTTGGCATGTCATAAAAACTGCCAACTTTTTATAGATGCACCATAGAAAGCATCTTATCTGGCTGCATCACAGTGTGGTATGGCAACTGCTGTCGAGACTGCGAGAAACTGCAGACAATTGTGAAAGGAGCCCAGTCCATCACGCAAACCGGCTTCCCATCCATTGACTTCATCTATACTTTCTGCTGCATCTGGAAACCAACCAACATAATTAATGACCTTTCCCGGTTATATGCTCTTCCACCCTCTTCCATCGGGCAGATGACATAAAAGTTTGAATACACGTGTGAACAGATTCAACAACAGCTTCTTCCCCACTGTTATGAGACTTTTGAATGGACTTCTTAGATGTTAATGTTGATCGCTCTCTGCACCTTCTCAACAGCTGTAGCACTATATCCTGCACTCTGTTCTGTTACCCTCATGCACTTGTATAGTACAATCTGCCAGTAAAGTTGTTAAGACAACACTTTTCACTGTACCTGTGTACACATGACAGTAATAAATCATATCACATTTTAAAACAAAGTGTGAAATGGCAGATATCCTACTGTGATGGTGGGAGTTTGTGAAATCAGTCATGCAATTTAATCTAGTCATTGTAGCCTTCAGATTTATGTCAAGAAGACAAGGTGAAACAGCAAACTGACCTCCCCAAAGGGCACCTGTCACCCCCAAAGGTATCAAAGGGCAGCATGGTGGCTCAGTGGTTAGCACTGCTGCCTCGCAGTGCCACCCACCCTTGGCCAACTGTCTGTGTGGAGTTTGCACATTCTCCCCGTTTCTGCGTGGGTTTCCTCCGGGTGCTCCGGTTTCCTCCCACAATCCAAAGAAGTGCAGGCTAGGTGGGTTGGCCATGTTAAATTGCCCGTTGTGTTCAGGGATGTGTAGATTAGGGGGTAGGTCGAGGTGGGATGCTCTGTGTGTCGGGGTGGACTTGTTGGGCCGAAGGGCCTGTTTCTACACTGTAGGGATTCAACAATTCTATGACTGTTTATATGCCTTACCTCTCTGAGGTACCCTGTTTATCTAAGTGAATCCACAAAGTTAAGACCTACTCCTCCCAGGTATAGTCTAAGCATGACTTGTTTCAGATACCCGTGTTACCAAATCACATAGGAGTGAAGGCAACTGCTGATTTCTATGGGCAACTATTTCCTTAAAACGCTCATGTGTGGAACCCAACCTGCCCCATTCTGGCCTCCAAGAAAATGGTATATGCTGTTTTTGGGGACAGGAGTTCTAATTTGCAGGCTTACTTGTCACCTTTGCAAAGAACTTTTCCATCATTGCAAAAAATGCAGGCCATTGAGTAATGGATACCTAGGAGTGTATTAATACCCAGGCTGGCATCTAATCAAAGGGATCAGATGGTTTACGTATTATGGTAAATGTTGTAAGTTCCTTCAGAATCAACAGTCTGAATGAGTGGTTCTTTTTCAGTTTTCAATGTAGAGGAGTTGGAAGTTCACATTTATGGCCTGTCTGTAACTTTTAGCTTGGAGTTAATGTCAATATGGGATGGAGGAGTGGGGAATACATGGAGACGAAGGAACGTGGAGTCAAACTTATTGCTGCTTTGTTTTTGTTGACAGCTCTCAGGTTTGACCAGCTCACTTCCTGACACCGTCCTGTCGCATCTCTGCAGTCAGGTAAACAGATATTTCATGAGAATCAGTGGCCCTGCCATGTCAGCTGATAACCTAATAGAAAAGCTTCTTCATTGTAATGCAGTAAAGATGGGACAGGTTGAAAGATGGTGGCCCAGACACTGGATTGTCAACATCTGATTATTGATTTTGGTTTAAAGAAACTGCTTTAAATGTTATGTAGATAACAAGGTGTAGAGCTGGACGAACACAGCAGGCCAAAT